ATAAAGCAGGTTTACTTCCATCCTGTTTCTTTGAGAAATTTTCACAGTCACCAAATTTGCTTACACAGACATAAGATAGACACTGAACAACTTTTATACTACTATTACTTAGTACAAAAGTTTTGTTAAGGTAATGGAACTGAAGGGAAAAATGTAACTAGGGAATCAGAAAACTCTCCCACTGACAAACAAAAGTGTTAGTGGACCATAAGAGGAGAAAGGCTTATACTAATCTTTTCATGACAGGCACAGTGGTAAAGGTCTCTTTATCAGTAGCTGGATGAGTGATTCTCTGGAAAAAATGTGAAAAGAGGAAAATTAATAATTGACACCACCACCCTTCTGGATGGGCTTCTCATAATATTTTCTAGCACGCCCACTGTTCACAGCCTTATTGTTCCTATGATGTCCCCTACACAGATACACACACACACCCCTACGATATGATTCCATTCTCCAGACTTTTCTTCTCATCTCATGAAATAACAGGAGTTGATCCTTATCTGGTCTTTATATATACTAGCTCATTCAACCCTATGCAGTATGTGACTGTGAGGCACCCTTATTACTCCCATTTTAAAGATGAGAGTTTGAGTCATTGAGCAAGTGGAGCTAAAATCCAAACGCAGGCCCAAAGTGAGTTTATTCTACAATACATCCCATTCCCTCAGGAGTATCTGTGAAATAAATACGGTTGACATTATTTATCAGATAATTACATCTTCCACAAAACACAACTCCTTAGACTCACTAAAATGTGTCTTCTCAAGAAGAATCAGCAATACAGAACGAATTAGCCTATTAGAAGAGTATTTTGGGAAGGGGGCCTTATTATGCTTCTCAAATGACACTCTTTAGATACTCAACCAGTACAAGCTGGTGTCCATCAGAATCCTATGTGCATGTGCTTGAGCATACAATAAGAACATTAGAAAGTACATAAATTTTGCAATTTTTAAATGAGATTAGTAAGAGTAAGCCCTCTGTCATTCCTGACTCCAATAAATTCAAATTTTTTAAATGGTTCGCTTTCCCTCTTATGAGGCCCAAGTCCTTGATCTAAGAAAACTGCTGGAATTTTATTATTTTCAGCTTAGTATTGAGCTGCTATTCTTCAATATCACTTATATTTCATTGTTATCTTCACTCTGCCATTGATTTTTTTTCCCTCTGTGCTGCTAGCCTTTTGAATCTGGCAAACACAGACATTAAAAAGATTTTTTATCTATTATGATCATGACATACTCTATATTTTTGAGTTCTGATGCTGAGTTTTTCAGTAAAGACACTACTCCTTATAAAGCAGTACATTTATAAAAATAACTGATATTTTGCACTCCTCACAGAATGGGTTTTTTGTCCCGGTCTGCAGAGGAAGAAAGTGATGCTCAGAGAGATATCATGCATAGGATCAACCAGTGGGTGAGAGCAGGAACCAGAACTCATCCAGATTACCTCACTGCAAGCTTTGTGCTTTTCCATAACACTGGCAGGTCATGTCTTTACCAAATTTAAGGGGTCGGTGTTCGTAGGAATAAGAAATCCATGAATGATATCTTTGAGGTCACAAAGTCAATGAAAATCTTGATTAAGTTTATAAAAACTCACTAAAAATCCAATGTTTCCATAAACATATTCACTTACATCTTTGACCAGTACATGTGATACGGTGTCTGTTGCCTACTCTTCTATTGCAAACTGAGAAACTGACTCCCAATACCTAGTGAGAGACAGCGGCCATATTGTGCACAGGGATTCCACTCCTGAACCCTGTACATGGACCAGACCAAGGCACTTGCCTAAAAGGCAGCCAGTCCCTGACCTGCCAGACCCTGATACCATGTGGCCCAGCTGAAAAAAGTGAACTGAACCAAAGAGACTCCACTCTTGAGAATGTGGGACTAGACAGCAGGATCAGAGCTCTTTTGCAGAAAGTCAGGACAACCACGATTGTCCACAGGCAACTGAAATTATGAGGTAATGAAAATTAAATGTATATATAACAAGGGCACCATTTATATGTTACTTACTATGTGTTTCATTTTTAAAATGCATTTACCCTGCAAAGCAATTACTGTTATTAACAACTCCCCCCCACCATCCCACTTTACTGATGAGAATTATTGAGGCACAAAAGAATTTAGAAATTTGTCACATAGCCAGGAAGTGGAAGCAAGATTGAAGTCCAGGCCATGTGGCTTTGCTGCCAAAATAAAGGCAGCTTAGTGTACACACACAGAGAAGATACTGAATGGCAACACACATGCAAAGAGAAACAGAAAATGCAAGAGAGAAGACTTAGATAGAACAGGCAGAGAAAGTATGATACACAGGAGGCCTCTGGCCACACGGCCTGGGTTTCAATTTTGCTTCCACTTCTTGGCTGTGTGACAAGTTTCTAAATTCCTTTGTGCCTCAAGCTGCATATCAAGCAATCATATCCCTGCCTTCCTTGATATCCCTGCTTATGTGTTATTCCTTCAGGAAGTTTTCATGATTTATAATCAACAGTTTTAAGTTTATTCAACACCAATTTTGAGCTTACGTCAACACCAATCAATGTCATACTCTCACTGTACCCTTGAAATTGTAAATATTTCTTCTGTGTGCATATTTTTTTACCTTCTCTTCCATACTGGGTCATAAAGCTTGAACCAGGGTGGATGGAATACTTATTGCCTCAGTGGAGAGGAGGAAAAAGCTAGGAGGGTTGGGTAATGAAACCAGCCGATGCACTATGGTTCTGGATCCGGCAGCTGTCGTGTGCCTGTTTCACCAGGTGACTTCCTGACCATCCCTAGAAGAGGTACTCGGCCCCTTGCTGGCCCAGTTCTAAGTATGGCATAGGGAATTATTCCTGGAAGCTCAACCTAGATTCTTTTCTCAAAGTCTATAAGTCTTTTAATACTTTATCATAAATCTTTTTCAATTATACTCTATGGTTCTGTTCTCTGACTGAACTATGGTGGATATATGAATCAAAAATCTTCAAAATGTTCATATTATTGTTCCAATCATTCCACTTCTGGAACTCCAGCTTATGGAAATATTACCCAAGTATAAAATTTACATGTAATTGCATTTATTATGTAATAAAAATGTGTAACTAATCATCTACAATGAGGACTAATTAAGTAAATTATGGAGTGTCCTTTAGGTAGGGAGGGAAATGCTGCTAATAATAATAATATGAGCTCTGCTCTCCTGTCTCTAGGACTTGGCTCATACTCTGTGCTTTTCAGAAGACATCATCCTTGGACACCCACTATTATGGTTTCCTCTCCTTTCCTCTAATTACTCTGGTTCCTATTCATCCTTCAAATATTTATTGAATGCCAACATGTGCCAGGCACCCATCTAGACACTGTACATACAGGAACAAACAAAACAGACAAAAATCCATGAACTCATGAAGCTCAAGTTCTAGTGGAGAAACAGTCAACAAAAAACTAAAGTAAAACATACAGTCTATCATGTAAAGATAAAGGAGGAGGAAAACAAAGCAGTAAAGGGACTGGAAATGAGCAGGTGTGATGGCTGCTACCTTGAGCACATGGGTCAGGGAGACCCTTCCAGAGCAGGAGCCATCTGAGCAAAAACCTGAAGGCGTCAGGAACCCAAGTAAATGGGTGTGTGAAGGAGAATGCTCTAGGCAAAAACTGGCAAGAGGAGAGAAGCTAGGACAGGAGGATTCCTAGGACACCCAGGGAAGGCTAAGAGAACTCAGGAAGTTTCTGGGGACTAGACTTCATAAGGCCCTTCAGGCAACAGACGGAGTGCCCTGAATCTTACAGCTCATATGTGAAAGAAACATGATATTACCAATAATTAGATAAGAAAAAGTGAAGTAAGGTTTCCTAAACTTTCAGAAATTAAAACAAAAAATTTTTTTGTATTACTCCCACTTGAGAAAAGACTGTATTACTTTCCTATTTTTTCTCAAGACAGTGATATTACAAATTCATTGTCTATTTAAGAGGTGATCAGAATGTAGAGCCAAAAGTGTGAAAAATATTACATAGAATATAAGACATATTACAGAGGAGTCAGGGCAACATGACCTTAAGCCATCTTACAATAGCTGTATCACTGTCAGCATGGCCAATACTTCTTGTCAGCAAGACATTTATGTATTATCTCAATGTGTGCATATGCTCTTCACTAATTAGAATGTATCAAATACTGAGTCATTTTATGACTTCTATTAGAAATGTTCCCTTTCTTCTTAAGAGAGAATATATAAGAATCTTTCTACAATTTACTTCTTAATGTCAAAACAATTTCTATACATGTTATCACATTTTCCTTCTCATGTCTTTCACATTCTATTATCTTTATCTTGATTTTCTCTCACTTCTGTAATAAATACACACTGATGTTCCAGGAAGCTAAGCTTAGGGAAAGTAAAACTGAGGAAGGAGGTGTGTGGACTGCGGTCACACTGGCAGGTGCCGGAGGGCTCTCGAGGGAATGAGCTGAGGACTACGATGACCTCACTGTAGGTATCACCTCTTTTAAGGAACCGTGTGTGCATCCCCAGAACTGGGTTTGGCAGTTATTCCTCCACAGCCACAGTTCCTGCCACAGCTAACCCACACTGCACCACACTGAAAGTGCCTTTCCACTGACAAGACACTTTGTGGATAATTAGCCCTTTGAAGGCAGGTCTTATCTCTTTTGTTTACTATTGTACCCCAGTAAATATACAGTCAGCACTCATTAAATATGCTCATTCCATGAATAGATGAATGATGTTTTGAAGATATTCTATTAAATTGGGGAATGACTCTGGTATAATGATAAAGGAGTAGACTTCAAAATGTTACTGCATTGTCTAATGATTACTGTGGAAGCTGAGTGATGGGTCCATAGAAGTTTAGCCTTCTCTCCACTTTTGTGTATATTGGAAACCTTCAATAATAAAAAGCTTAAAGATATTATGCAAAATTTAATACCAACTATGTTAAGAACACTCTACATGAGGAAAATATAGATAATACCTTGCAAGTTATTAAAGATGGTTCGAGTATTCTTCCTGAGGTTGGTCAAATTCTACGATGACCCAGGTCCATTTATTACCCTCTTTCCTTGAGTTGGCTGGACCTGTGAATATGATGACATACCATACCTGTGATTAATTCCATTATGTGGTGAGGAGGAAGGGATTTTGTAGTGGTAATTGAAGTTCCAAATTAGCTGACTTTGAGTTAATCAAAAGAGAGATGATCCTGGATGGGTTTGGCTTGGTCAGGGAAGCTCTTTGAAAGAGGGCCTACACCTTCCCTGAAAGGAGAGACTCCCAGGGCCTGAAGAAGCCAGCCATCCTGAGCTGACAGCTGCAGGAAATGGACTCTGCCAGCAACCACTTGAGCTTGGAATTGGATCCTGAGCCTCAGATGAGACAGAGCCCCAGTCAACAACCTCTGTGCAGAGGATAACCAGTTAAGATATGCCCTGACCCATAGAAACTATGAAATAATAAAAGATGTTTTAAGTTCCTAAACCTGTGGTAATCTGTTATGCAGCCACAGGAAATTAACACACGTCCTTCCATTTTTCTAAATTTTCCAGAATTTCTGTAATAAATGTTTTTTTATAAAAAAAAATGAACTTAATAGATCAAAAAATTTTTAATTAATATAGGTAGTTCAACAAAACCATATTTTGCAGAGCAGTGAACTGATATCTTTTTTCTTAATGTTGTTAACAAAGTACTAAATAGGAAGAAATCTTCTCTTTGTCCTTCAATGCTTGGGATCAAATCCAAAGTTACCCAATTCATGGACAAAAGCTAATAAACTGTGTAATCAAACGGGGTGGGTGCTAAAGACAAATGTGCTGAAAAAGAAAACTTTGCATAAATCCTTCTTCTCTTGCTATACTAAGCTTCCTGAAACGATCCTGAACAAATATATTTTTATTTTACTTTGGACACCAACACCCAGAAGGCTACTCCAGATTAATGATCATGAAACTAAGTAGAAAGGGAAGCCATTCATGAAACAAACAATATAGCAATCAATCAAGCTTAAGGCTGGCATTATTCAAATACTGCAGAGTACTTGATGCTCTAGCACCACTCCATGAGACCTGTTGAGCTACTAAGCACTTTAAAATTAATATCAAAATTATCAGTGCAAAGGTTCATTACATCAGTTAGGATGAGGACAAAGATATAATGTGCTATTAACTGATCTCCCACAATAAGCTGGATTTTCTATGTTGCATGCTTAGCTTAATTCCTAATATCAATACACAAACATTTCTTTCTCCAACACCCATCTGTCTTGTGCATCTGCCACACATGTAAGTTAAATGGAGATCAGAGAGGGAATCGTCACCCATGAATCTTTTAAGTCCCTGCTGGTAAACTTTGATTTCTTCCACTATGTAAAATTGTTTTATTGTTATTATTTTACTCACCTGATGTTATGAATTATTGAGGAAATCATTGTTTACATTGTTTACTAAATTTAATGTTTAAATTAGTCATTGCAAGAGGTCCAGGACCCCCAAGTCAGTCCCCATCCCTTTGATTCTAATCCCAGTTGGCCCTGTGAGAAATGAAGCAATCTCCACCCCTTAACCCCATCCCTGATTTATTTTTTCCACAGCACTAATCACTATCTGAAGTACCATATACTTCATTTATTAATTTTTCTTCTCTCTCTACAATTTTCACTCCACTAAGGCAGAGCATTTTATTTGTTTTGTTCACTAACAAGTTACCAATGCACAGTGTCTGACATAGTAAGCAATCTATAAAAATTGCTTGAATGAATGAACGGTGTTTTAAATACCAGTAAGAAGGAGAATTCCAGGGGCTTCCACTAGGCTCTTTGTATCATGATAACGCTACTGCATGAGTCAGGAAGTCAACAAAGGGATTGTGTGGTTGCTGAGCATCTTCATTCCAATCAAGTAAGGAACTGAGTAAAGTAACAAAGATGAGCCCAGGTTCCCCTAAGGTAGATTCAGTTCCAAGCCGCACTTACTACCTGAGCCTCGTAAGTCGGTGAGTCACAGTGGGGTTCTGGATATGCAGGAACCGTGTTAGCTCAGAGCCACTGTTGCCCTCCACCTGAAGGTGTAAGCATTTCCCTTTCCCAGTGCACAGTCATCTCAAGATCTCAAAGTCCCTTGGCAGAAGGCTAGAAGAAATGAGTACCAAGCTTCTGTTCTAGGGTCTGAAATTTAAGTCTGGAACTTGGGTAAAAGGCTAAGACTTTCTTATGCAGTAGCTCAAATTGGGCCTCTGATTGCCATATCTAGAGTTTTTTTGGGTTGGGCTGGGGCAGCTGTTGTCTTACAAATCAAATATTCTCCATACATACAGTTCGTTTCTAGAACACTCATGACTGGGTAGTGAATACCGAAGATCTCTGGGGGTTGGACCACTTTGATTACCACTGACTCACCTCTTCCTCCACGCCAACCACAAAACCCTAATTGCTTCCAGTGTTTACATGCTGCTGCCTGGCTTCTGGCACTCTGGGATCTAACATCCCAGTGAAGTCAGAGAGCTCATCAACTGGGTCTCCTCTCACTAGATTCTAGGTCCACAAAGAATGGCCTTTGTAGAGATTTTCTGGAAGGAAGAGACTCTCCTCACCAATGTATTTCTCAATGGCTTAGTGAGACCTTGGCGCCACAGTCAGGAGTTAAGACAATGGATTATATGCGAGAAACACACTGTCAATTCCCTACATCTCTAAGTCTTTAAAATTTCTTCCTCTGTGTTACACAAGAAATGTCTTGCCCATTGTTGAGTGCAAGTCACATCAGTAGGATACAAGAAGTGACTAAAACAACTTCCAATTGAATACAGAATCATATCTAGGTGCATGTACATATACTGACCACTTCTGCTTGACGTAAATTGCATTTCTCCATCCTTGGTCAACATCCTCAGAATTCATTCCCACTTGTATCAGACAAAGTTTTACAAACGTAAGTTAATAAAATATTGCAATTCTTTTGGGTTACCTTTGTGATAGGCCCTGGGGCATGCTGACTCTGGGGGTGGGATATGGGGGCACAGTGTAGTTTGAGGGCTTGAACACTGGAACCCAACTCCACTCACATGTCTCCACCCTATGTTGAGACCTCTACATTGCATCCTGTTAGTCAAAGTTGAAATTTCCACATAAGAAACTAGGGGAGGGTGAATGTGTATATCAATGATACCTTAATAAAAAATAAAAGAGAGAGACTAGGGAAGGTTATTAATTGCTGTAAGCAACTTGGAGGATAAATCTTTCAGTGGGTTCCAATTGCTCATCCTTGTGGCTAAAAGATTACTCATTCTTTTAGTACTATCTTAGAAGTGACCGGTTTTCCCTTGGCACCTTGAGCTCAGAGCTAAGGACTTCGAATTTATCATTTTCTGCAACTACGCTGTCCGCAGTTCTACCCCACAGTCTTCGAATTCTTCACATCCTTCAACTGCCCGCAGGCAACAATCACTCTGTCTCACAAGCCCAGTCTTCATTGGGACTGTCACTCAAGGGGACAATGGTTTTTTCACTAATTTCAATGGCTGTTCAGGCCCATTTTCTTAATATCAACTTCATTTTCCACTTTCCCTTTCCCCCTCTCAGGACACGTAATAAATTCCAGTTTCCCTTCTATATTCACGAAGACCTATTGGCCGCATCCGCTACTGATACAACTTTCAGTAACAGGGTTTTTGGATGCAAATTTAAAAAACCAATTCTGGCTAATTGCAGCTGAAATGGAAATCATTTAGAGGGGCAAGATAGCTCACATACTCTTTGAAAGGGCGAGAGAAGCAAATTAGGATTTTACAGCTAGAAACAGTTCTCAGAAGCAGCCACAGGGTTTGTCAGGTAAAGACGACCCACAGATCCTGCTGGATACAGACGCAGCAGCACATTCAAGCAGCCTCAGTGACCCACCCCTAGATGCTGCCGCTGGAGCCACTGCCACTGGGCCCTTCAGGAAGCCAGGGTGGTTGCGGTTGCTCTTCCCAACTCCACATACTGTCCAAATGCATTCTGGGTGGACCCTACCTCTTGGTGTCACTAGTTACTGATGCTTAGTCTGGAGAGCAGGTGCATCTGACTGGCTGAGCCTAGGCCCATGCCGTAACTACAGGGAGTCTAGCAATTAGATAATTCACTCATCCTTCCCTGAGCATATGATATGTGTGCCAATGTTTCATATGGCACCCCCAGATAAATAAACAAAAGAAATCCTTCCCCATCATTCCACTGGCCTCCCTAACCCCTGCTGTTTCTCTGGTCCTGCCAGTCACAACGGCCTCCCTCCCCCTGCATACATGGTGCATACCTTGTCTATGTCCTGCATTAGATTTAGACACTGCTTTCAAGTATCTTCTGCTTCTTACTTCTCCTGTCTTCTTTGTGGCCCATATTCATGCTTTCCAGGAGACGATCTCATTGTGTTAGAGAACCACCTACAGTCATCATTTGTTGTTTGGGCTGTCTAGTATCCAAGTCCTGTTAACACTCCAACCTGTTTTGTGGGGGAATCTCCTACTGTGCGTAGATGTAGGGATGGGCCCACCTCCCACACAGTAGCCGATGAGCAGTGCCCTCTCTCCACGCCTAGCCTGGCTATGGAGCATGCATGTCACTTGGCCGAGGCTCATCAGACAAATGTAGGGACAGCTGCAGACCACCCCCATCAATGGAGCGGCAGCCAAGGCAGCAGGGTGAACACGCTGGCTGCTCTTCTGCTGTAACTTTTGCTGTGCTCCCCCATGCAGGGCTCTTCAGAGCAGAGGTTTCTGCCTCTTTCTAAGCCAGGTCCTCCAGGCCCCAGTAGACATGTGAGCTACAGACATCCTACCAGGGACTATCTTGTTGAGGTTAAATTTACCAGAATCATTTTCTATTGCTTGCAAATAGAAACCCAACCAGGACTCAGACACCATAGAGTTACAGCTCTCATGTCTGAGCTGCCTTTGGCTATGGCCTTTACATCTGTTGCCTTTGGCTACAGTACCTATCTATAATCTAATCCCCTGAGGCCAGGATGGCAGGGCCACATACAAAAACGGAGCAGCAAATTTCTCTGCCAAAGAAGCCACCTGTGGCCTCTGTGTTCATTACGGTGCT